GAAAACTATAACGGATATTGTACCCTTAAAGGTTTCAGAAAAAATTGAGTTTTTCTATTTGCGGTTGGTCATCATACTGCTGCTAACAAATCAGCAACGGCAACAAAATTAAGTTTGTAATGCTGGAAAACCTGATATTTAAACGTTGACTACGAAACCCTATTACACGCTCTTGGCCGGTTTTATTCAAAGAATCTGCCAAAACCTTGCTGCGTTTCGATGGTGGTATAGAACTTTAAAATTAGGTCCTTTTGTATTCAGTGCAAATATTTCCAGGGTGCGTTCTACTCGTGAAACTGGGCAACTATTCCTAGTTTTTTTTTAACAAATGTATCCTCCCATACAAAAATGTTCAAAACTTATATATCTTCGTATGGAAGGTCCAATAAATTTTTCGTATTGCCAAAGAATTATACTAAGTAATGTTGTTCGGTTCCACGAATAGAACATAAGACCCTGAAAATAATTGCACTATAAGTATTTACATGTAGTCTTAGAGCAACTACTAGATCAAATATGACATTATGTTACAGAAAAAGTGTACATGGTCGATGATCATAAGAACTTTAAGTTCTATGTACTCGTAATAAAATGTTTTACAGCTTCAATAGTTCACTAATTTCAATTTGGGAATACTTTGGTACTGAACCGTGTTACGTAATAGGTTTTAGAAAACTTGTTATATATTTTTGAAGCTATCCCTTTCTGACCTGATTTTAGCGTTCCTATTCTATTTTTTTATTACCTATACAAATTATTTTTCTTACACAAATAAATGGTTTATATCATGATTGCGGAAAAAATATTTTGCGAGTTCATTAAAAGGTGTCAGTTTATCAAAAACACAAAGCCGTTCAGATTTTATCAACCAATCTTCAATCAATATTTTTGACAACAATCAGCTGTTATTAATATTCTCACACAGTTCGGTGTGACGTTTAAAAATGGTCCATTCGCTCTGTTTCCTTGTACTCTTGTGTATTAATGGTGTTGCTACCCTTATCTCCGCCCTAGATACCATAGCTGCTGACTCTGCCTGCCAATTGGTAAAAAAAGTTTTATTTAGTGCTTCAAACACTTCAGCCTTATACACAGCCAAGCCATTCTTTATGTTGTCAGTGATTGTCATCAGGGCTTGATGCTTTCAAAATATACACTTATAGGTTATCTCCACATTTGCATTCCGAGTCTGTTATCCCAAAAGTTACACTTAAGCAATCGAGTGCATTTGTATGTTCGTTCAGATTGTTCAGTAGACCTTAACAGGTTGTCATGTTGCGGTAAACTTCTCTTCACTGTCACATGTCAACGATGCCAGGAAGGCAGTAGCAATAAATAGTCTAGCATAAGTATAACCAAACTCTCGATAACAGAATGTTTTGGTTGCACTTTACAGTACCTTATCATACCTTTTTTGACCTCTGGTTATCTCACTGTTGCTACACCTGATGCCACAACTGATGACGTGACGACTCTGCCAAGATTTTGCTCACTAAAAGGTGCAAACACATGAATATGTTGTTGAATAATCTAGGTGTTTGTTTTCTTCTTTAATTACTTTAACTTACACTCCATTTAACTTTGCTAATGTCGATATTGTTGAAAAATTGCATAACGGTCCTGCCTTGTTATTAGTTTTTTTCATAGAAGAAATCAGTTTTCTTGCTCGGCAATCTAGTGGAAAATCTCGTTGCACTATTCCTGTCACTGGAACACGTGACGGTTCCACGCCTCCCCTTCAAACCTTCAACAGTTTCTGTAAACTCGTCCATCTCTCGAATAGAAGGAACTACTTTTGCAAACAGCAAAGTGTATGAGCCACCTGGAACACTGGCATGCGATGTAAAATAATTGTTGCTTAAGTAGTGTATCACAACTGGAGTTGCAGTCGGAACTCTATTGCAGGTACAACCCAACTGACAATTTTTGGTCGTATAATGGTCAAGACAACGTTATCGTTACGTCTTGAAGTCGGATAGTTTTGGTCGTATAGTGGTTATATATATGTTTATACGACGCGATTTGGGCACAAATTATATGACTTTTGTCCGTATAAAGATCGTATTAAGGTCGTATTAATGGGCTTAAGTCCGGTAAAAGTCATATACAAGTCTGTTTCGCGACGTATGGTCGAATAACATTCGTATAGGTGACTGTTATTCGACCATTTAGCCGTGTAGTGGTCGTATTATTGTCTTTAAACCGATCAAAAGTCGTGTAGTGGTCGTATTACTGACATTTATACGACCTGAAATCGCGTAGTGGTCATCGGCGTTACTTTATCGTGCACGGACTTCAGTGTGGTATCAAACGAGTGAAAGTGAGGTTAAAGACAAACAAAATCATTCAAAATAATTAATGTCTGCCATGTTTGTTATCGAATATAATCTGAAAAGTTGTGAATGGTGTTATGAACTGTTTAGTGTTGAGTTTTCAAGTGGGAAATTGTTTTATCGACTATTTTGTGTTATTATTCAAACAAAATTTTAATGCCCCCTACAAATAATAACGATTTGAATTATTTTATTTATGTTATTAATTCATTATTTATTTATATAACGTTTATACAACTTTATGGCGTGATCGCGACTGTTAAAGGACACTTTATGACTAAAGGTCGGGTTATATGACTAGAAACCATTTTCTGTCCGCCATTTTCAGGGTACCGTTTAGAAAGTGAAAACCTTGAAAGACATTGTATTGTACAGCATAATACTAGCCGACAGTATAATGTACACCACACCAGAGGAACACAATACAACATTATGGATGAAATCAAAACAATGTCGACATCCTTCACCCCGTACCAAAAATGTACGGGGGTGTAATGCACGACATTGTGATCGGAGACATCACGTGAGTAGTAGCGTAGTGATTGGACTTGATCGATAATTTTACATACATTCCTAACTAAATCGATATCGTTTTTATCTATTTATCTATATATATAAAAGGCAAAGGGGATAGGTCATAGATCAACGCACAGGCTAAACCTTTAGAGCTAGAAGCGTGAAAATTGGCATGCGTATTTTATAAACATTGTAGGCATCCACTAAGAAAGGATTTTTCGAAATTCAACCCCTTAAGGGGTAAATCAGGGGATGAAAGTTTGTATGAAACTTTTTATTCTTTTGATATATTTGGCTAAACTTTCGTACTATGAAAGATCTTAGACAATAATTAAAGACGTGTTTTAGCGTTTTCCAAAATTCAACCCCAAAGCGTGTAAAAAGGGGGATGAAAGTTTGATATTAACGCGCCGGCCGGACCCTTAGAGTCACAGACTTAAAATTTGGCACACTTTTTTCTGATGTATAGAAGATATCATTATATTCAAAAGTTTTCAAAAATTGGACTCCGGGGTGTCAAAATAGGGTTGAAAGTTATGCAATGCTGAAAAGGCCAAATCCTTAGGGCTAGAAGCTTGAAATTATGCATGCATATTCTTTACACAACGTAGGTATCCACTTAGAAAGCACATTTCGAAAATCAACCCTTAAAGGGTAAAACAGGGGATGAAAGTTTGTATGAAACTTTTTATTCTTTTGATGTATTTAACTGAACTTTCGTACTATGGAAGATCTTTAAAAATAATTAAAGACGTGTTTTAGCGTTTTCCAAAATTTAGCCTCTAAGGGGGTAAAAAGAGGGATGAAAGTTTGATATTAACGTGCCGGCCGGACTCTTAGAGCTACAGATTTGAAATTTGGCACTCTTTTTTCTTATGTGTTGTAGATATCATTATATTTAAAAGTTTTCAAAAATCATACCCCAGGGTGTCAAAATAGGGGATGAAAGTTATGCAATGCAGAAAAGGCTACACCCTTAGAGATAGAAGCTTGAAATTTGGCATGCGTATTATTTTAATAACGTAGGCATCCACTAAGAAAGGATTTTTCGAAATTCAACCCCTTAAGGGGTAAATCAGGGGATGAAAGTTTGTATGAAACTTTTTATTCTTTTGATATATTTGGCTAAACTTTCGTACTATGAAAGATCTTGGACAATCATTAAAGAAGTGTTTTAGCGTTTTCCAAAATTCAACCCCCAAGCGTGTAAAAAGGGGGATGAAAGTTTGATATTAATGCGCCGGCCGGACCCTTAGAGTCACAGACTTGAAATTTGGCACACTTTTTTCTGATGTATAGAAGATATCATTATATTCAAAAGTTTTCAAAAATTGGACTCCGGGGTGTCAAAATAGGGTTGAAAGTTATGCAATGCTGAAAAGGCCAAACCCTTAGGGCTAGAAGCTTGAAATTATGCATGCATATTCTTTACACAACGTAGGTATCCACTTAGAAAGCACATTTCGAAAATCAACCCTTAAAGGGGTAAAACAGGGGATGAAAGTTCGTATGAAACTTTCTATTCTTTTTATATATTTAGCTGAACTTTCGTACTATGGAAGATCTTTGAAAATAATTAATGACGTGTTTTAGCATTTTCCAAAATTCAATCCCCAAGAGGGTAAAAAGAGGGATGAAAATTTGATATTAACGTGCCGGCCGGACCATTAGAGCCACAGACTTGAAATTTGGCACACTTATTTTTGATGTATATTAGATATCATTAAATTCAAAGTTTTTAAAAATCATACCCCGGGGTGTCAAAATAGGGAATGAAAGTTATGCAATGCTAAAAAGGCCAAAAACTTAGGACTAGACATTTTGAAATTTTGTGTGCGTATTCTTTATACAACGTAGGTATCCACTAAGAAAGGATTTTTCGAAATTCAACCCCTAAAGGGGTAAAAGAGGGGATGAAAGTTTGTGTGGAGCTTTTCATTCTTTTGATAAATATTTGGCTGAAATTTCGTAATATGGAAGATCTTTGAAAATAATTAACGTCACAAGTGAAAATAAGAAATAGAAAAAATGTCATACATCGACCGGGAATCGAACCCGGGCCGCATGGGTAAACGCCCCACCGCTCTGCCACTGAGCTATCGATGCACCGTCGATGAATGGCAAATTTTCTATCTCTTGATGCTCGAAGGTGCATCGATAGCTCAGTGGCAGAGCGGTGGGGCGTTTACCCATGCGGCCCGGGTTCGATTCCCGGTCATTGTATGACATTTTTTCTATTTCTTATTTTCACTTGTGAGAATAATATAGCACTGTGAGTGCATTAAAATCCCAATAGATGAATTAAAGACGTGTTTTGGCGTTTTCATAGATTCAACCCCTAAGGGGGTGAAAAGGGGATGAAAGTTTGATATTAACGTGCCGGCCGGACCCTTAGAGCCACAGACTTGAAATGTGGCACACTTATTTCTGATGTATAGTAGATATCATTACATTCAAAACTTTTCAAAAACCATACCTAAGGGTGTCAAAATAGGGGATGAAAGTTATGCGATGCTGAAAAGGCCAAGCCCTTAGGTTTGAAATTTTGCATGCGTATTCTTTAGACAACGCAGGTATCCACTAAGAAAGGATTTTTCGAAATTCAACCCCTAAAGGAATAAAAGAGGGGATGAAAGTTTGTATGAAACTTTTTATTCTTTTGCTAAATATTTGGCTGAAATTTCGTACTATGGAAGATCTTTGAAAATTATTAAAGACGTGTTTTGGCGTTTTCCAAAATTCAAACCCTAAGGAAGTAGAAAGGGGATGAAAGTTTGATATTAACTTGCCGGCCGGACCTTTAGAGCCAGAGACTTGAAATTTGGCACATTTATTTCTGATGTATTAGTAGATATCATATATATTCAAAAGTTTTCAAAAATCATACCCCGAGGTGTCAAAATAGGGGATAAAAGTTATGCAATGCTGAAAAGACCAAACTCTTAGGGCTAGAAGCTTGAAATTTTGCATGCGTATTCTTTAGACAACATTTTTTATCTCCTGATGGGAAAGAGAGAGGAAGAGGTATAGTGGCATGGGGAAAACCAATACCAATACCAAGACCAGGACCGAGGCCTTGACCAAGACCAGGACGGAGACCGTGACCAATACCGAGACATATACAAATGATAATATGCGACCGAAGACCGAGACCGTGACGGAGACCGGCCCTTAAACGAAGAACAAAACCGAGATCGAGATCGAGACCAGGACCGAGACCGAGATCAAGACAAGGCCGAGACTGCGACTGAGACCAAAATCGATAGCGAGGCCGAGACCGAGACCGGCACCGAGACCTAAACCGGGACCAGAACTGAGACTGAGACCGAGGCTGAGACCGAGACCGAGGCCGAGGCTAAGACCGAAAGCAAGACCGGGACCGAGACCTTAACCAGGACCAGAACTGAGACCGAGACCGAAAACGAGGCCGAGACCGAGACCGAGACCGAGACCGGGACCGAGACCTAGACCAGGACCAGAACTGAGACCGAAACCGAGACTGAAGACAAGACTTAGATCGAGATTGAGACAAGGCCGGGACTTCGACTGAGACCGAGACCGAAACTGAGGCCGAGACCGAGACCGGGACCGTAGATCGGGACCGAGACCTAGACCAGGATCAGAACTGAGACCGAGTCCGAAACCGAGGCTGAGGCTGAGGCTGAGGCTGAGACCGAGACCGTGACCGTGACCGTGACCGAGGCCGAGGCCGAGACCGAGAGCGAGACCGGGACCGAGACCTAGACCAGGAACAGAACTGCAACTGAGACCGAAACAGAGACCGAGACCGAGACCGGGACCGAGACCAGGACCAGAACCAAGACCGAGACCGAGACAAAGACCGAGTCCAGGACCAGAACTGAGACCGAGACCGTGACCGAAAATTGGGCCTGGACCAGGAACAAGACCATGACTAGGACCAAGACCAAGGCCAAGTCCACCAAGAATATGGAATGTCCGCTTGCACTGGAAATGTTTCATAATCTTCCTCATGGCGTCGTAATCATCATAACTGAGGGTCGTGATGGGAAATAATTTTCCTCAATTCCATCGCTGCCTGTCTTTGACGACATAGGGCGCTGAGCGTATTTGATTAGACCACCTAATTACACTGCAACCTCTTGGTTGTTTTTTCGCCATCGACTTTTCCAGTGATCATGAGTTTGATGTTGCCAAAGAACTCAAGGACCCTTCTTACGCGTCATGTTTTTTGGGTTTCGTAGTCTACTAGAAACCCTTATAGTTTCGTCAAGTCTGTCTGTCTGTTTGTATGCCGCGCCCTGATAACTCCGTCAGTTTTAGAGCTATCGACATCAAATTTGGTGTGAAGATAGACCGTGTTGACCCAAATTTAGAAATGTTGAGAAATGTACAAGTGAAAGGGGGCAAATAACAAAATTCTTCTGTAATATTGAGTAGAGTATCGTTGAATAGGTCTCTTAAAACTAAGGGGAGGTTTCTTTGAAACAAAGTCACAAAAATGTTTCTGTCTCGAGATATTTGCTTTTAAAAGGGGCGTTTTTGAGCCATAATTTGTTCCAGCTGTAACTCCTAAAGTATAAAAGCTAAAAATTTGAAAAAATATGGAATATACTTCTCAATCTGAAATTACCATGAAAACTATAACGGATACTGTACCAATAAAGATTTCAGAAAAATAAAAGGTTTTCTATTTGCGGTTGGAAATATACAGCTGCAAACAAACCAGCATCAAAATTAACTTTGTAACGCTGTATAACCTGATATTTAAACGTTGACTACGAAACCCTATTAGTGGGCGTGTCTGACACGCTCTTGGCCGTTTTTTTTTTTCAATAGTTTGTATTGTTGACGGTAGCGCCAAGGTACCACAAATCAAAATACATTTTCAAGGGAGACACCTAGAGACTCAGTGCCAGGCTTTTCCTTTCTATTATATTAATGAAGTGGATAAATTGAATTGAATTGAACCATTTCAACGTAATGTCGTCTGCATATCAGTGAATAGTGATTTTAGTGCCCTCTCAGTTGTTTGCCTTATGATGTGTCGCTTAGAATACGCAACTAATTAATAAATCCCTATGAGTACGCGGGCGAAGCCGCGGGTAACAGCTATTCTATTCTATTCTATTTCAGCCTATTGCAGTCCACTGCTGGACGTAGGCCTCCCCCAGGGAACGCCATAAGGCACGATCTCCCGTTTTTGCCATCCAGTCGCTACCAGCCGCCTTTTTCAAGTCATCGGTCCATCTGGCCGGAGGGCGTCCAACGCTACGCTTGCCGAGGCGTGGCCTCCACTCGAGAACCCGCTTACTCCACCGTCCGTCGGTTGTACGACAGATGTGGCCAGCCCACTGCCACTTCAGCTTGCTACACTTCCAGACTATGTCCGTCACTTTGGTCTTTTTCGGATGGCCTCATTCCGGACTTTATCCATTATAGAGATACCAAGCATAGACCTTTCCATAGCTCTCTGAGTGACATGTAGCCGGTGGGCCAGTTTTACTGTCAAGTTCCACGTCTCGGCTCCGCAGGTCATGACTGGTAGGACGCATTGATCGAACACCTTGGTCTTAAGGCATTGTGGCAAAGATGATTCGAGGATGTGACGCAGCTTTCCAAATGCTACCCAACCAAGCTGCACTCTTCTGGTGATTTCAGCCTCAAAGTTGTCTCTTCCCATCTGCAAAGTTTGCCCAAGGTACACGTATTTCTGGACAACTTCAAGGACTACACCTTCGACGGAGACCGGCTCGGGGATTATGTGTTGATTGAACATGACCTTCGTCTTATCCAAGTTCATCCCAAGTCCAACACGTCTCGAGGCAGAGTTAAGACTAGATAGCATTTTTTGCAGGTCCTGCAGCGATTCGGCCATTATGACTATGTCGTCGGCAAAGCGGAGATGCGTGAGACTTTCGCCGTTGACGTTGATGCCCAGTCCATCCCACTGTAGAGTTTTGAAGACATCCTCCAATGCGTTGGTGAAGAGTTTCGGGGATATAACGTCACCCTGTCTTACACCACGGAGCAGTTGGATGGGTCTTGTATTATGGTTTTGTACTTGAACGGACATCGTAGCCATTTGATAAAGGCTTCTCAGCACCTCCACATACCGCCAGTCGACTTGGCACCGCTGCAAGGACTCCAAAACAGCCCAGGTTTCGATAGAGTCGAAGGCTTTTTCGTAGTCCACAAAAGCCATACACAGTGGTTGGTTATACTCCTCTGTCTTCTGTATAACCTGCCTTACAGTATGGATGTGGTCCACGGTACTGAAGCCCTTACGAAACCCGGCCTGTTCCGGTGGCTGAAAGGCGTCAAATCTTGATGCCAGACGATTCGTGACGACTCTCGAGAACAGCTTATAGACGTGGCTCAGAAGTGTGATCGGCCTATAGTTTTTGAGAAGCGTTTTGTCTCCTTTTTTGAAAAACAATGCCACTACACCTCTGCTCCACGCCTTCGGGGTTGTCCCATTGGCTATTACAGAGTTGAAAACAGCTAGTTTAAAATAATATTCTTTATTGAGCTTAGTCGCTCAATTTGTTCGCTCCAACTCTAACCTTACCTAACCTAATGTTTTGGAATTGTGTTAAAGGTTGTCTTTTATTGTGGAGGGCTGCACCCCCCAAACCACCGTCTCGCCTCGCTGGGTTGCCTTGTATGTTAGGTTTGAATAATTAATCTACAGGGAGTTAGGAAAAGTAGTCTGTCTCATCGTATAATAAAGTATGTTAAGGGTGTTCAAATGATTTAAAAAAAAATATTTGATGATAAAAATATTTTTAAAATCTTTTAATCAAATAGTTTAACTCTACAACACAAAGCGCCTTACAGTGTATGTACTGGCAATTACCACGCCAATAACTATGCATGCACTGTTCCTTCACAGCGCGTAATAAGATCTACAACACTGCAACCGCAGCTGAACGTGACAGTAACAATGTGCTCTATCACGCTCAGACCTAGGGTTGAAAATTTTATTTTTTTAATTATGTTTTATGTAAAATATTTCTAATTTATTTTTTAAACATGGTCAAGATACTATATTATACCTGCGTAACAGAACTTGTGGTATAAAGGAACGTACTACTTTTCATAACACCATGTATAAGTCAATTACAGCCAACACTGTCACTTCACTTCATCCGCTGTGAAGTAACCTGTTTTGATTCTATTTGTAGCACTGTACATTATTATTCTGGGCCCGTATTTCAAACCTATCCATAATGCCGTACATT